CGTCGACTTTCTCATAGCTTCCATCTCCATTGCAATAAGAGAGCAGAGTGAGCACACTGAATGAGTTCATATATTGGCCAGACAGTTCGCGTATATTTCCCGACCCAAAATATTAGGTTGAACCGAAAGTTCTGTCCCTCCATTTTCAAAAATTCGTAACTTCGCCAGATTTCAACGGATTTGCTTGCTCGTAATTTTATTAGAAAGAATAGATCTTCCGCTTTCAAGCGCTGTTTTATGTAGCTTCTGCTTCGCACTGAGTGCCGAGATAAAAATGGAAAACTAAGACCATGTAAAGTTTGACCATTTTAAGTTAGGTCACCAAAAATCTGGAATGCTGCAGAAAAATCTGAAATCGTCAGTACATATGTTTTTTGGCCTACTCTTTGCAATTGTGAAGAGTTTGCGCTGTTTGGACGTTTCTGCGAGAAGTTATGATTTTCACGAAAATTGCCAAATTAATTAATTTTGGCGTTATCCATAGTAAACTCGATATTCATAACTTCTCACAGTGATGTCCAAACAACACAAACTTTTCACAGATGCAAAGGGTAGGCCAAAAAACATATGTACTGACGATTTCAGATTTTTCTGCAGCATTCCAGATTTTTGGTGACCTAACTTAAAATGGTCAAAGTTTAAATGGTCTTAGTTTTCCATTTTTATCTCGGCACTCAGTGTGAAACAGAAGCTCCGCAAAACAGGGCTTGAAAGCGGAAGATCTATTCTTTCTAATAAAATTACGAGCAAGCAAATCCGTTGAAATCTGGCGAAGTTACGAATTTTTGAAAATGGAGGGACAGAACTTTCGGTTCAACCTAATACTTTTAAAAAAATCGACAGTGTTGTTCGATTTCCGTGACCTCAGCTTCCGAATGATATGTGTTATAGCTTGTTAGGGGCTTTGCTTCCAAAGCCCACTTACCCCTTTCACCCTAAAAGGGTGGAAGTAACCAAGATTCCCTTCATATGGAGAGGGTCCGGCTCCTTCTATGGCATCTATGACTATTAGCGCCCGAATTTGAAGGTCTAACGTAATACCAGTTACAGGTAGATTGACACGCTACAAATACGACTAGTGCATTATGTACCCACGATTATAACGTGTCAAAACACAATCTTTACCCGCAAAAATATAAGGAATCGGATTGTTCACAACGGGTAAGCAATACTGAGCCGCCTAATTTGATGTTTACATCCACGGAGGCCTATGATCAGAAGAAATTTACAAAAATTTTCATAAAAAATTATGTGAAAGAGAGGAGCTGTAAATGTTGTCGATCTGAGTTGCTCCTGCGCAATCTAAGAGCCCTCTTGCGCGAGCCAGAGAAACTCATACATATTCACAATTTCCCCCCCCCCCCTTCCTCACATAAATTTCCACAACTTTTTTACATAATCAAATTTTTCAAATCAAGTTCTTCCTATGAGTACTCACCTTGACCAACTTTCGTCCCCTACGCTTTGTTCTCTCGATAATATTTAAACAACCCCTTTTTAGCATTTCGCCTTTTTGATTCAGTCTTGTCTTTCCTTTACTCCACCCACTTTTTTCGTTGCATTATTAAAGAGCTTCTACGAACTCTAGATTAAACATTCCGTAATTTTCTGCAATGTCAAGGAATACCCTGCTTTTGAATCCCTCATATGCCATCTCGTGCTGGGCCCTGTTAACCATATCATTTTTGTTTATTTCCCTAAACGATTTCTAGCTTGACATTTGCCATCCTCGTGCCAGGCTCTGCCTTTGTAAGCCAAAATATTTCCCTCAATGGCTTGAAACCCTCTTCGATTTTACCTGCAGTATAGAAGAGCAAGTTGTGAATCGCATCGCACTGAGTAGATTTGAATCCAGCTCTACATAATGGTGCCTAAGAACAAGAAGAGATATTAACGATTAACACATTGACGACCAAGGCGGTTCACGGACCGGTCATCATTTTTTAGATGAAGTCACGCACAATTCCATCTACAGTACACCTACAGTAACTCTGGAATGCTGGCAAAAACAGTAAAGGTTTTGTCTAGGTACAGCACAGAAGAAAACTCCCGGATTGGGTTTAACACAGAATAGCAGCTATTTCAACGATACACATGGTGCGTCAAGCCTTGACACACCATGTGTGTCAAGCGGTCGTCAATGTGTTAAACAACATCCATAGTTCTGGGCATTCTGTGTATTTTCTGAAAGCAAAAAACTAAACGGTTCCAGCGACTACTTCACGTTGTTCTAGCCGTCTATAGATCTCAAAAATCGTCAGATTTGCAATGGTGATGTGCCCTCTCACCAAGTACTCGTACAATGAACCTATGAATAAAGAATAAACTACACTTTTCAAGAAAACAGAACCCAAGCCCCATTCCAGTGACGTTCCTATCCTTCTTGCTGCTGACAGAACTCTCACATTCTCTATATTCGCGCTAAAACGCACTTTATGAGGACATTGTATATCATTATATCATCCCCATTTTGTCAATCTGCTTCGAGTTATGACCGTTCCCTACATGGATCACAGTTCAATAATCTGTTTTCCGTATGCACTCCAAATCATACAGACGTAAATGGATCAGCAAACCAATCATGTTGCAAACTTTCCCAAAGAAATGACTTTGTTGCGGAGTTAATTGATGGAGCCCCTTCCGCGAATGCGGTTTCTCAAAACCTAGAATGTGAGAGCAAAGAGGTGATTTTCTCCCTCATTTTCTTGAATATACAAGTGAAGGAGTACATGGAGCAGATTCCTGGTAAGCGATAGCAGTGAGTTGGTACAGCCTCATTAACTCGCATTCCGAAAAGTTGTCAGGCACAGCGAAGGCATGGAAGCTAGCCAGCCAATAGTTTCAAAAGCAATACATAGAATTTCTTGATAATTCCACTTCACGGTTTTGTTGAACGGAAGTATTTCAACTTTAAAAAAGATGTGAGTTCTCTCGTGAAGGCGTGGGTCGAGAATGGCACTTAACTGTATGAGGTCGTCCAATCTTATGAGTTCCGAGCGCAGGGAATTCATTACACAGCGCTGAAACTTCTACGGGCCTCACCTCCCGCTGAACTTAACCTTTCATTACTTCTTCTAAGGTAATCGATTGCTTGTCAAGAATGTTATTTGCAATTAGCAGTAAAGTCAGACTTGCTTCATATGTGAGCGAACGTCGGGGGTTCTATGATGTTTGGTGAGTTTTAGACTAGCATAGCAATCCTGTATTATCTTGATATTGCAGTCAGATGGACTTGCGCCCAGGAAAAGTATTAGAATTTATGTCGGCATGCGTGTTTCTGTGCTCAAATAACAAAAGAGTTCAGAAAAATCTTCAAAATCAAAGCATTTCGTAAAGATTTCCATTATGTATCCCAAAATTATCTTGACATTGACTACAATTTTGTTGTTATATCGAAAAATCAAGACTTTTCTTTCTTTCAATCGGCATGAGATTTTTTGTTCAAGCAAAATATCCACTGATTGAAAAATGGCCGATTTGAGAGGAAACATAGTTTGACTGGGCAAGAAGGCAAAAAAAGGCAAGAAACCAGAGGCAAAGTCACCTGACTAAACGCTGGATTATTTTGTATGGTTCTTCATACTTCGAATCGAAAGCATGCTCTGAGCCTTAAAAATCACTTTGCATCGTCTTAAGGGAATCTTGGAAGGAAATTTCGCAACAATGATTCAGAAAGCAATCGACCAGTTTTCAACCTACGTAAATGTATTGTTGAGAAAGGGGGTCATTTTGACCAGTTGTCCTAGCATCAAATAATTTTTGTAATAGGAGACCAAAAGCTACAACTATGTATGATACCTCAGATTCCGCTTTAATTCCCATCATTAATTGCAAATCAAGGATTTTTGAAATAATTTTGGGACACATTATACTGACCGCTCCAGCACAAGCTCAAAAGCTTCGAAATGAAAATTCTTGAGATACATATCTTGAGTCTTGAGCATATAATGTGATGTATTTCACGGTCAGCAAAAAAAAGCATTGGCTTTATTTGCTCGTCTTTAAGGAATATCGGTGTATTTTTACTCTTTCGAGATAATACAGATGTGAAAAAAGTGCGTTCCACAATCGAGGAAAGAATGTACGTAGTTTTCTGGAACGGCACAATGCCAAGTCACACTTCTTCTCTCCTTTTGTAGCGTAGATGTACCTCGGTTTTACAATACAGGCACGAAGTCAAACAACTTAACATTGTCACGAGGTTGTAAGCGTTGAAAGAAGCTGGTTCAGGTTACACGATTGAAAACGAAGCAGAACATAAATCACATCTGAGACTTCGTAAGTTTCACTGACATTGACAAAATACGTCTAAAAGATGTCCGCGCCTAGGTTGCAAAAACCAAGACCTGATAATTTTTGTCGTATCTTTGGTGCGCTATGATTTCTTCTCAAATTGCATCATGACCGTTTTGGCGAATTTCCTTCAAAATTGACAAGAACAAAACGTTGTAAACTTTCGAACTTCCCATCTCACGTAAACTTCTCTTTCGATGGACTGAAAACGTAATGGTTTTTGTAGCTGGTTCTGCTGAAGGTCGCGCAAGAAATAGGTGAAAGAAAAACTCAACGTACTTCGTTGAGTTCAACTCAATGTAGTAACCTTGCAAGTTGAGAGTATGCGCTATATTTAGAAAACAGTAAATACAGACAAGCAAAACAATTTTTGCTGCTTTGAGTGCGCTTCTTCATCTGCATAGTTTGAAGGAGAAAGTCTCTAAATGTGGCACAATTAGTTTTTCCCGCAGAACGAAGCTATTCATAATGTTGCCTAAGACTCGATTTAAGAAGCAGGTTATATTTAATGTCGACTGAACCTTAGAGCAATTTTTTCGGAAGCAACAAATACCTTCCTACTCAGTAATGTTGAGTAACATAACTGGTTGTGGTAATATATATAGTTGGCCTTGACCCTGTATTGTATCTATATTAACCCAAATAGCGCATCACGTTCATCAGGCAAGTTAAGACCTTTTGTTTCCTCTGTGACCACTTTTTTTTATAGCAAACAAAACCTACGAGCTGTAAATTAGTGAAAAACTACGGTGAAAGATGGTTATTACACCTAAAGCGGTATAAAATGCCTGTTCCAAGTGAACTTCATCAGGCTTGCATCATGGAAGCTGATGACAGGCATCGCCTGGCGGCTTATCGCTTTGTCGCCTATTCGGCCGTTGTCTTCTCCGTAGTTGCGGTACTTTCAATCTGCATCACGCTTCCTATGGTCTACAATTACATTCATCATGTGAAGAGAACCGTAAATACAGAAATTAACTACTGTAAGGTGAGTATAAACAAAGTGGAAGCATATAGTATTCCTGAGAAACGCATTTAGGGCTCCGCCAAGACCATTTGGGGCGAAGTGAATCATATCAACCACGTCCCCGCCTCCAACCGAACAACCAGACAAGTCGGAGGAGAATGCGAAGGCTGCTGCATTCCAGGTCCTCCTGGACCACCAGGACCCCCTGGAAAACCTGGCAGACCTGGTAGGCCAGGTGCGCCAGGTATGCCAGGAGCACCAGGAAGACCTCCAGCAAAACCATGCGAACCTATCGTACCTCCGCCTTGCCCACCGTGCCCACCTGGAGAACCAGGTCCACCAGGACCGCAGGGACCACAAGGTCCACCAGGACCACCAGGACCAGCAGGAACTGGTGCCGGCGCTGGACCACCGGGTCCTCCTGGTCCAAAAGGTCCACAAGGCCCTCCTGGAAAAGCTGGACCGCCTGGACCTCCAGGACCACCGGGAGAATCCGCATCAGGAGACATTGTTCCTGGACCCCCAGGCCCACCAGGACCTCCTGGTCCTCAAGGACCGCCCGGACCCGATGGCGCTCCTGCACCTGGTGCTGGAATGGGTAAGTTGCTCATGATCTTGACACTCTGATCGAATACCGAAATTTGTAGGACCGCCCGGACCCAAAGGACCTCCAGGACCGCAAGGACCACCTGGGCCAGAGGGGAACCAAGGACCACCAGGTCCACCTGGACCTTCTGGAGCAGGTGGAGAGAAGGGAATCTGCCCCAAATACTGCGCCCTCGATGGTGGAGTCTTCTTCGAAGACGGAACAATGCGACGTCGTTGAAGAGATTACGACACTCAGTAGTTTTAGTCTACATTTGCACATGGTTGAGATTCTCATCTCCAATAAAGACGTGCAAGAGACGCGCAATCAGCAAAATTTACTATCAACAGAAACGGCTTCACGCCAACCTCTCAACAATACTATTTAGTGCCTGTACACAACCTCGCAATAGGCAAACGCCCATCAAAGGCAAATTACCTGGCAAAAAGCGTTCGAAACTATTACAGCGAATGCGTTTCTTATCAAAGAAATACAAATTGAAGTAGCGTTATGCGAATGCTTTCTCCAAAAGCCAAACGAAACACTAGCGAGCGTTCATTGCCGTCAAACGGAACCGGTCACGGTCTGCGTGTTTGCCGTGCCAGTAAAGGTCTTTCGAAACATGCCCAACAAAATTCCTTGCTTGTAGGTGCAACGTAGAACAATTTTCTGAGAGGTTTTGCTATGCAGCAGTTTTATGCGCTAGGAATAGCTTGGGTATAGATTCGGTGATCTATTTTATCGTCGAGTCGTTCGTAAGTATGCTTGCACATCACGTGCGCTCCTTGACGTTGGAAGATTAGAACCTGCTCATTTTCTAGAATTTTGTCATGCTGAAAAGGATTTTGGCAGGATCGGTTACCGCGCATAGTCTGCAGACTCACATACTGAGTTAGAAATGACTCGAGAGGATATCTGGCTGATTGCACTAAATGTTGTATATTTGATGTGGCTTCAAGCTGTGCTCATGTCCTCATCACGGACTTGCAAGCTATTTGTTAAACCAAAAAATATATCGGGTTGGTCCAGATGTCCTGCATCGAAATTCTTAAAGTCCCAATTTCTCCTAGTCACGAAAAAGCGTTTGATCTTATGTAGCTTACAATTAGAAGGCCGAAACCAGCGACTTTCTGAATGAGCTGTAGCCAAAATGCAGTACTTACATGTCATAGAACACAAGTTGATAAACATAAACATTCAAACCATCCCCACAGATGTAGTTGGTATGCTAGAGGGTTCAGCGAAATTTGCTTTCACTCGTAATCATACTTTCTAGGAGAACTGAAGTTCGTTTTTATTAGATGTTTACACAATGCTCATGAAATCCCTATCTTGCATGAATAGAATATTAGGGTGATCTGTAAAAAATGGGGCACCTAGAGAATAATTGTAGATTTCTCAAAAAAGAAAAGAAATTAAAATTCCCAGTTTTGATAGATGTTAGAATAAATTATTCTCTTTTAGAGAATACCTATATAAGGTCATTTACATACTTAATAATTTTTATAGTGGCTGAAATGCAAAGTTGGACACTTTGACAAAGTAACTTTGGGCCGTATCTGCGCAGTGAAACATGTGAGACCACCCAGAGTACCACTGCTGGAGTGGGTGGTGGGACAGTCACTAAACCCACGACGGGTTGGTGGCCTTAACTTTCAAAGTCAGGAGATATGGCCATTGGAACAAACTCAGACAGTCGAGGGGATACCTCCGGCGGGCAAATGGCGCGAGTCTGCCACTTCGTGCTCTGGAGCGCTCCGGAGCCCTGCCATTTCACGCAATTTGCTGCTCCGGGGCTCTCCCAAAACTGGCGCACCTCCGGAGCAGAGATTTGCGAGTCCCGTAGAGGGGTCCCATTCCTTTACCGTGACGTCACGGTGACGTCACAAGCAGGCAACAAAATGCGTGAGATGGCAGGACTCCGGAGCGCTCCGAGCGCGAAGTGGCAGACTCGCGCCATTTGTCCGCCGGAGGTATCCCCTTCGTGTCTGAGAAGATACGCGTTATTCAATTCTTTGCAGTGAACGCATGTTTTCTAGGCACCATCTGATAGAGCTTTTTACGCTCTATCCATCCATATGCAGATTACTTCATACTTTATCTATCTTCGGAAAATAGAGGCAAAACATGATTTTTTGGTTTTTTATTGCGCCAAAAATCGCGATTTTTCAGGTATTTCGCTTTTTTTATCCAGAGGTAGAAAGAAATCCTGTATGTTTAATAGACTGTTTCAGAGCATGAAGAGCTCTTCCGAATGGTATGTCATTTGCTTTACGACTTTACGGTATAGCAGCGCAAGAATGAGCGATGTTCCAAAAACCCTGTCTGAGTTGTTCATGGCGCCACGCGTACGGTTATGAGAGAGGAGCGGTAACGCGTTGCCAGAATAATAGGCGAAAGTCGGTTATGTAAGCGACGTTTGAGTTGCAGCCTGCTTGTTGTCGGTAAGAACGAAAAACCTCAAAATGTAATAAAAATCAAGCTGCCCCATTTTTTACCGATCACCCTAATAGTTATTGTATCAGACTATAACAAATAAATTCGAAAGTTCCTTGAACAGCTTCTAAACAAATTTTCGCCTTTCTTTGATGCTTGATACTAACCTAATAATACAAGCTTTTAAGAGAGCTTTTACAATGCTGGGGTGGATTTCAGGTAATTTCAATAAATTTCAGAGTGATTTTTTTTTCAGCAAAACAAAGCCGAATATACTAACTACCATAACACAGTCTGGGACGAATGTTTTGACAAAACCAACAGTAGCATTACATCAGCCTTATCACAGGAGAAACATGCGAGGCAGGCTTCTTTTCTTACGCACCTGATGTTGGCCAGCGACTCGTAGGCCTCACGAGAGGGGCATCTGCATTGGTCCGGTCCGCTATTGTTGTCTCTGAATGTAAGGGCTCTGGACCAGCCAAAGTGCTATCAGACCCCGCCCATATCCTATCAGACTCCGCCCACCTATGTACTGAAAGCCGCCCGCGCCTTTAGGATAGATCCTTAGGAATCAGGGTTTTTTTTGAGTTTTGGACTATTTGAGCTTTATGACTGTAATCAGGGCCACGGAAAGACCCCCGAATGGCAAAAACATGGGAGGCAAAATTTTGAGGGGACGCTGCCTCTAAAGTGCTGTCATCCTCTATATGTTCAAATGGTAATTCATGTCTTAGCAGAGGCAGTGTAAGAAGACAGGAATTGCTAAAGATGGCATCGAAAATATTGGCTTTGAAAAAATAAAATGCGGCAGACGCTCAAAAAAGAACAGCAATTAGAGCGAGCAAACGACACACAGATACAACGACCTTGTGCTTGTTCTGCATCTCCGAAAAAAAGTTACCACAGCTATAAAACAATGTGTAACACAAGAGCAACTGGAGAATGATGTTCAACATCTTGGAGACTGCGTCTGGTGTCGTCTACCAATTCCAGTGTCTAGAATGCGATGCTTATATAGATGAGGCAGGTCGGTTGCTAAATGAGCAAGCAGCTAACAAAAAGGAGAGTCTACTGGGAGAGCATAAAAAGGAAGAAGAACTCAACGCTATTGACTACGACATAAAGTGTAAAATCGTAGCTAAAGACAGCCGAACTCTACGCGGAAGGCAATGAAAGCATCTTTCATTCTTTCATTCTTACCTGTGACCCTAAGCTCGACAGCAAAGAATGAAGGATTATCTACTCAGACAAATGACCGGAACTTCCGCAGAGCGCTTGCGGAAGTCCCGCCGGGTCATCTGCGGAAGTTCCGAAATGAGGTCCTGCGGAAGTTCCGAAGAATGCCAACCACAACAGCAAAAGAGAACACCGGGACAAGATTTGAACCTCACTCTATATCTACGCTACGGCTGACATGTTCGATAATGCCCTCTAGTTGCTGATGAGGCAACATCACGAGAAAACACATAAAGTCCTGCGGAACCTCTGACATCTTTCGGAACTTCCGCAGGATTTTGAAGAAGGTTCTGCGGAAGTTCCGGTTTTCAAACAGTTTGGCATGAAAATCCCGCGAAAGATCCGATTTTCAAGGTTTTGATTTTTACAATGGTGAACAAAGTCCTGCGGAACTTCTGCAAATTTGGCTTGTGCTGCGGAAGTTCCGATGATTTGTCTGAGTATTATCAGTAATATCTAATATATCTGCCGTTTTGTGGAATATAGTTGCCTGCACAAATTGATCGCACATTACGAAAGGCGAACAAATTGTTTGCTGTACGGCATAAACACATAGATCAAACAAAGAAAATGTCCAGGTTCCAAATTAGAAGGCGCACAGTCTACTAAAACTTTTTTGATGCTCAAACTCTAGCGGCCATTCAGTTTTTCAAGGTGTCAACTAACAACGCTGCTGGTGCTCAAGATTGTATAAAACCAAGCAATATGGAGAGTCGAGATCTTGAAAGCTTTTTTTTTGCTATAGTCTTGAAATACAATGAAGTTCGCTTGACGTTGGCACTTTGCGCAATTTATAAATCGTCCGGAACATCCACTTTTTGCGCGTGACCTCATCAGCGCAAGTATTCGAGGCAGATGTCTATTAGCCAAGTCACTCGAAATGAGCAACTCTTCCTCTTTCCGACTAAAAGCTAGTGTTTTTTGGACAGCACTTAATAGATGTGAAGCAATCCGGCCTTTCCAATTTGTACACCCTTTCGTGAAAAGAAACTGTGTATGGTACATCTGAGTGCACGCAATTGCCAGCTAATTATCCTCTTTCAAAGTGCCTCGCGTACTTAATACCTTATGCAACATTTTTTGGATGTAAATAGAAATATCACTGACCTGATGATGCTGAAGTAGTATTTTTATGTTTACAGCTCTGTTGGGCTTTGGTTTACATAGAATATGGAAGAGCATCGCGAAAAGAAGCAGCAGCTACTCCATTTTTGCCTCAAGCAATAACTAATCTGAAAGATCTCAAAAAAAAGTTAAATTCGTCTTCTCATTGTCAGTTACGAAAAATTTCTTATTGGTGCTAAACTGTACGACATATTCCTAAGTGAATAGCTAAGCGATTCTTCCGTATTTCCGATCCGAAGTCATTTTGACACTCAGAAGTAACTTATGTAAACTTTTTACTTGCGTTTGTTTGGATTTTTAAGCTGAAGAATAGGCTGAATGAGTTTCCTCACAGTTAGAAATTCTACTATTGTTTAGTGTAACAAGAGTTCTTCCATCGTCATTCAAGTGCAGGTGTCATTGCAGAACTTGTAACTAATGGCTGCGAACTCAGAAGTTTTTTGTGGTGAAAAGAGAGCTCCCAGACATGTTCGTGCTTTTTTCACAGAATAATTACCAGCCGTGACAATAGATGTTATTTGGTAAAGTAGAGATGCCTTAAAAACGTCTACAGACCTGAATGCTTTGAAGTGAGCCAGATTAACATTTGGTTGACTTGAAGAGATTTACCAATCCATTCTGAGCCTAAATGAATGGTAAGTATACAGTCAGACCTTGTGGAAAGTAGCATCGAGAACAAGAAGAAGTGCAAAAATAGAAAGCTTAATTCTCACAAATTCATTCGAGACCAATGCGACTACCAACGCGCAGATTTCTTGCTCTAATCGTCGTTCTCGCAAATGCAGTACCACGACTTCACTACTCGTTAATGTTTGAGCTTCATCTTCCAAAGCGATTGAGGACAGAAATGCAACTCCAAAGAAAAATGAGCTTTCTTGAAATTTATGTGAGCGCACATGCTTGGGCTATAAAAAAAATCAGAATTAGCATGTATGCCTGGAGCCACTCACATTTGGGATCACAAACGTCCAGCACATAAGCAGAGACTAAGAGCTTTAATAGAAATGGACTCAGTTCCACTTTGGAAAAGCAAAGGAAGCAGAAGAACTTTGTGTAGAACATCGAAGATAAATGTCATCATTTGAGAAAAACATAATGCTACTTGATCACCGGCGATGACAATCGTGTAATTTCCTACAAGCCACATCAAATGTAAAATGCAAACAGATTTATGGCAATCTAATATGACTAAATTCAAGAAGAATCCTATAATTCACAGAGAGTACATTCAACAGTGTGTCCGATTGCATTCTGAAGAAAGTAGTTTGATATAATGATGAATAAAAGAAGCACCATTTTTAATCGTTTCTGCAAAAGTGCACAGTAAGCCGTAAAGATTTATGTTAATCGCTTCATTTCTTCGAGCGAAAACGCTGGCAATTCGACTGTCCACGAACGACTGAAACCATTTTTTCTCGTAAAAAGTCACAGAGGTCATGAGGGAATGCGATTAAGTGCAACCAGTATTACTGTCAACCGGCCAGCATTGACACCGGAAAAACTAAGTGGAATAGCGAAGAAATTGACGAGTGGGCGTGACGCGATCCTCCAAATAAGCTGTATAAAAGTGAGGGTAGGGGGAGTAACCACAGTCGACACTCGCAGCATGGAGTGCGAGTCGGGACATCGACTCGCAGCCTATCGCTTCGTCGCCTACTCGGCCGTGGCATTCTCGGTCGTGGCAGTACTCTCCATCTGCATCACTCTGCCTATGGTCTACAACTACATACACCATGTGAAGAGGTCGATGAACACCGAAATCAACTTCTGCAGGGTAAGGTTACTGAGGTATTCGAAAGGAAGCATTCATCAAAATTCTAGACAATTATTCTGCGCAGCTAAGCCTCACTTAAATTAAACAGCAACTCACTCGTTGATTTATGAGTTTCTCCTAAGAAGATAGTTTATTTTGCAAATACTTCTTTGCAGCCTAGTAGAATATCTGCATCTTGAGTCACCACCAGTAAAAGTTTTCGTCTGAAGTATGGCATACGATCGAAAACCCTTTAGCAACACCTCCTTCCATCTTTGGAAGGAAAAAGCATACCCGAGTTTTGTCGTTATTGCAAAAAGCGCAACCTATAGCATAATGGTATGTCAGAACAAGTTACGTGTTTTGCATGATCGAACCCGTCATTCGTGTCTGAGAGCTCTTTTACGAATTGAAGCCGTCGTTATCGAAGGGTATGAGTGCTTTGTAAAAACGGTAATGATACCTAGCCTCATCAAGGTCAGGGGTATTTCTAGCAACGCTCAACCTTGAAATTTGACATTTTGCTTGAAGTGTACATGAATGCGATAGGAACCGGTAGCGAAAACATTTCAGCTACTCGAGGATTTGTAAGCGGACGTTTTTTTTTTCGAGATGAACGAGTAGCGATTCTATTTCATGCTGCAGCGGTTACCATGATGTTTTAAAACATGAAAAAATCATGCATGAGTTTAACTGACTTTGCTCCTATCAAAATTTGCTCTCATACCTATGCTTGAAGGGATCAGTGGGAAAGATCTACAACGAGGTGACTGCCATCAACAGCATGCCGACGTCCAACAGGACAGCTCGTCAAGCGGAACCCAATCCATGCGATGACTGCTGCGCTCCAGGACCCCCTGGACCGCAAGGACCTCCAGGAAGACCAGGCCGACCAGGCCGACCAGGAGCGCCTGGAATGCCGGGTGCTCCAGGAAGACCACCAGCACGACCTTGCGAACCGATATCACCACCACCATGTAAACCGTGTCCGCCAGGCGAACCAGGTCCACCAGGACCGCAGGGACCACAAGGTCCACCAGGACCACCTGGACCACCAGGTAAAGGCGTGGGGGTTGGCGCAGCAGGACCACCAGGACCAAAAGGCCCGCAAGGACCGCCAGGAAACCAGGGACCGCCAGGCCCACCAGGACCGCCTGGAGAATCGGCTTCCGGAGAAGTGGTACCTGGTCCACCTGGCCCACCAGGTCCTCCTGGACCACAAGGACCACCTGGACCAGATGGACAGGCTGGCGGCGGCGGTGGTGCAGGTAAGCATACCTCAACATAATATTGCAGCTACAATACAACTGATTCATTCAGGACCTCCTGGACCGAAAGGACCCCCTGGACCCGCAGGTCCACAAGGACCGCCTGGAAATCCTGGAGCACCTGGGCCACAAGGACCTCCAGGAACACCAGGAGAGCGTGGAATCTGTCCAAAATACTGTGCGCTCGACGGTGGAGTGTTCTTCGAAGATGGAAGTCGCCGACGTCGCTGAGTATGGATTTTTCACCGTGCTCTGTAGTAACATATGCTTCCTATGGGTTTGGATAGAAAGGAAGTATAAAGAATGAAGCATCGCTGTGCATTGTAAAAATTCACACTTCAAAACCAAGAGGATGATCAGACTATCAGTGAATAAGTGTACCCAGGGTCAAGCGTAGGGTGCGGCACGCCACACCTGGGGGGTCGTATTGAGGAATCAAAAGGGGAGGGGGTCGTACTTGGGTAATCTGATAATAGTGATAACATGATATTCGTATCCTATCCATAATTAGCATGCTAAATAACCCCTGTAGACAAAGTGTGAGCGATTTCTGAAGGTTCAAAATACCAGGCTACCTAAGTGAAATGGTCAGATTCCAACATGGTTAACTTTGTTTCAAAGGTGAATCAGTTATCCGCTTTTGCACTCAAGACAAAGCACTACTCCTTCTCTGTCCATTTCAGGAATCCTGCTTCAGAAGACCTCCAAAGTGGAATTAGAAGCCAACCAAAATCTCGTTTTTCCTATTTTTCGCTTTTGATCGCTGTGCTTTCACCAAATATTATTTGGAGCTAAGAAGACGAATCAGGCTCAAAATAGTCCTATGGAATCTACAAGGTTTAGGCTATCGATTCATTTAAATAGTGTCCGCTAAAAATGTTTTTTTGATATAGTTAATGGCCTGCGGCACCCTCCCTCAAAACCTGCGGCTGCCGCAGGTTTTGAGGGGGGTGCCGCAGGCCATTAACTATATCAAAAAAAAAACAATTTTAGCGGACAGTATTTATATGAATCGATAGCCTAGATCTCCTAGTTTTCAAAGGATTAATTTTAGCCTAATTCGTTTTCTTTGCTCTGAGTAATAGTTGGTGAAAGCACAGCCATTAAAAGCGAAAAATGGGAAAAACGAGATTTTGGTTGGCTTCTAATTCCACAGTTTGGAGGTCTTCTGAAGCGGGATTCCTGAGGTGGACAAAGAAGGAGTAGTGCTTTGTCTTGAGTGCAAAAACGGATAGCTAATTCACCTTTGAAACAATGTTAAACATGTTGAAAAATGACCATTTCACTTAGGTAGTCTAGTATGTTGAATCTTCAGAATCCGCTCACACTTTATCCACAGGGGTTATTCGACATGCTAATTATGGATATGTTGCCCATTATGTTTGACAGGGCCTTCAATTAATGCTATCTTAAGTGTATAGTTTAGGGGGGGGGGTCTTATTAAGACAGCAATCAGGGGGGGGGGGGTCGTAACCAGCGATCGTGTGCCACACCCCTTGCTTGACCCTGAGTGTACCGTATAGCGGAATTGGCTGAGCAAAAAGAGCGTAGAAGGTGTCCACATATAAGAATCAGACTCGTTCTTGTTACTTCAACCAAACGACACTAAAGTAAATTGCATAGTTTTACTGGATGTAGCGCCTGTCGCGGTACAAATTTCGGGTAGCATTCTCGGCGGTGGAGAACTCACCTCTGACATTTGCTTGAACGGCCAAAATGATTGGTCTTCCCGAACAAAATTTTGGAAAGTTGGTTGCAATGCAATCATTTGCGGAAGTTCTCCTCTTGACCCTAGTTGATTTTACAGGGAATTCAGAACGCTTCTGGCATGAAGCAGGGGAAGATGTATGATCGTTCCTTGCGCTATCTCGTCGTTTAATTTTTTTACTTGAGCTTGCAGGTGCTCTGTCTTCGACTTCGACTTATTTCGTACTATTCACCTGTTCTGCTTGATAAAACTTTTTTGTCTTAAGTTTGAAAATCGGATTGGCCAATCCAAACAAGCTGCACACTATTGCATGCAGCATAAGATGCTAGCTCTAAATCGTTCTCCACTGTCGCTAAATACCTTTGCAGGAGCCATCATTGCTAAGATCGTATGCAATTTGCAGCTTTGGTCATACAGAACCGTTTAAGGGCATCCCCCACCCAGATTCTCGACGTCCATGTTTTGATCGTCCCCTGGCCTCGTTGTCCCTGTTTCCGAGTATGAAGTCGTGAATCCGAAAACCCCAACAATCCCCGTTTCGGAGAACTCGCAGGCCGGCTTTCCGGGACGGTGATTGGATGCGCGCGCACGTGGCGGGCATGGATGGGGAGGGCGGTGCTGGGGGTCCTCGGGCATCTTCGTTATTCCGCAGCAATTTCCTCGTTCCGAAGCGACATTTTGCGCCGCGACTTGGGTATTGGGGCCCTACTATCATACGTTGCCAAAAGCTCAAGACCCTCAACTCAGGGTGGACGATGCCTTTAATGCTGGGCCAAGGCATACAGCTAAATTATTTCTAGGAAATATTTGGGTGAGCTTAGAAGAGAGTGCGCCTAATCGATTAGCTGTGCGATTTCATTGCATATAAACTCCTTATAACCTGTCTACAAAGACGCCCAATAGATAAGGATGAAAATGGGGTCGCCATGCTACGTAAAAGTATGCAAATTGCTCGCATCAGTCACTTCGACTTCCGACCATTCCCACATTAGTAATAGGTAGAGAAAAAAGGCGTAGCATGAATTTAGCATGACCGTCTGCTCCTTTAAAAGCAAAACAATCCACTAAAAGCAAATTGAGGGGGAAGGAAAGCATAGTTAATTCTGAAAAGCCGAAAGCAAACGGAGAGACTATTGAATAAAAAACTATGGGGAGTCAAATATGGTCAAATATGAACCTGACAATTATGCAATCTGGAACGTGTCTGTCCCTTTGCCACTTGGCATCTGCCGCAAATACGAGTGGTTAATATGAAATTCTCAGTCACTGGGACCGGGCGAGCCGCGGCCTCAAAAGGCCTTTCCGGCCCGTCGGCGGACTTAATTCGGGGACGTGGCCGGAGTGCGGCCGAGCCGCGGACCTTGATTCATATCAATGTGATTGCACCGGCTGTCGCGGACTGAGTATGGCTTACCGGCTCAGCCGCGGCCTTAATGATGGGGGTGGAGCATTGCAGCGGCTGAGCCGCGGACCAAAATCTCTATTACGAAACTCCGGCTGAGCCGCGGCCGATGTCAGATAAGCTCCGCGGCTCGGCCGGAGGGTAAGCTGTTTGCATTCTTCCAACTAACTTCTCAAAAAATACCTTTTTGGTGATTGGGCACATGATGTACTCTACATTTGGTTGTCCAGAGCTGATGGCAAACAGCACATCGTCGCCACTTCCTCCAATACAAAAGGCCAACGTAAGTTTATAACCTTATCACTCGTATTTGTAGAAACTACGTTTTGCAGAAGGGTCCACTTCTAATAACGGTGATCAATTCAAAAATGTGCGACTATTCAAACGGAACAGCTATCCTTATGGTAAGGTAAGCTCTACTACTTATGTATACGTAGTATCTGTTGCAACACGCTACCAAAATCTACGGAAACTTTATAGAACTAAGCCAAATAGGCTGTACTCTTCTTCGTTTTAAGTAGCCGTAGTATTCATGTCTCTTTTTTTCTAATCTCCACTATCTTTAAAGGTTGGAGTAGTTAGATCTATTGCAGTCTCCCTGCAATTACATGAGATTTAAATGCATTGCTATAAGATTTCTTTTGCTGTTTCATGATTGAAGAATGTCTACAGATTTGTTCTTCATAACGCCATGTGCTCTTCTGCGTACGTTTCGCTGAGAAGCATGATGACTTCGTGAAAATCCTACATTTCCAAATAGGTGACGTAAGTCAATGACATTGTGTAATTGCTAAATAGAGACACATGCAATTTTACGGCTTGAGATTCACTAAGCTCTTGGCCTAAAATTTGGGGCATCAATAAGCACAGCTTAATGCTCACATTGTTTCTATTTTTATATGCATATTGTTTCCGCACTCATACTTTGAAACTAAGTATTTGAGTAGAATTCCATATTACCGAGCGGTTTTCGAGAAATACGTCATGGTTTCGCAATCTCTCAGTGACTCTATGGATGTAGATATCGATTACTTCGAGAATGTCCAGTGCTAGTATGTAGTATACTAAAACTTCTGACATACTCTTGATGACCTTTGTTGACATTTAACTAGTTTGTGCAATACATGTAGACACATGGAGTTTTACGCCAATTTGATTGCTCAGCTTTCAATAAATTCATACGGCAAGTCCTTTTTAAAAAGTTTTGTTTTTCTATTACAGGCTCGCTGGTGCTTAGCCAAACCTTTAAACAAGATGTGTCTCTATAATCATGTGAACTTCAAGATAAGTCAATATAATCATATAGAATCTAATTAGCAAATGTTTTGCAAACTAAGTCAGAATTTCACAGTTTTTTTGCTTTAAAGATGAAAATCATTCCATAACCCAGCTGATAATGTCCATTGCTAAAAACTACTAATCAACTACTTCGTGAAGACAGCTGATGAATTTCGTAGAGGTTTAGCTGATGCCTGCAACTATTGTCAGATTTTTCTTCGCTTACAGATATTTACTTTTGAAAAAAATTAGAATGGCGCTAAAGGAACGCGCAGAATCCGGCAGTCATGTTCTTGAAGCTGTGAGAGACAAAATGGAAAACCAAGAAAAGAAAAGGTGAGCATCTTTGTAGCCCTGCCACCAACCACTCACTTGATTTCTTCAGATATCCAGAGGATATTCGAGTAGATGATTCTATCTACACACCGAAGTACAGCTTGATAAGTTTGGAAGAGCTCTATGGACCCGATAAGCATCTCGTTTCGTATACGAGAAGAGCTCTATGAAGAGCTCTATGGACCCGATAAGCATCTCGTTTTGTATACGCAGGATAGGGCATAGTGAGCGTAAAGCCTTCTTTGGGGTCATTACGTCCTACTGAAATTGCAAAAGAGTTTTTTGCAGTTCAAGACTTGTTGTGAACGGAAAGATCTTTTCATCGGGGATCTATCAAGAAAGACATAAAAGGAGTCGCCAGGATTTGTTGTATTTTGAAGACGACGATGGCGCTAGCGGATTTGGATCTGTAGTGATCTTCTTGCATAATGCCCATAATAATGAAATCCGAGTAGTTCTGAAAGAGTATAGAACACAAGATTGCTTCTCAAATCTTGAAGATTTGATCGTAGATTCTTCAAATCAGACCAGCCAAAGAGTGCGTGATTTGTTAAGCGCCATTCGACGAAACAATCGCTATTTCCGCGAAATTAGAGGATATGATAGGAAAATTAGATGTGCTTCCCAAATCAAAGGGACATGTCTCCTAATTAAATATGAAAACAGGGCCTTTGTTCTAAGAAATTGAGTTGGCTCGCTTTATTGCAATTAAATTTTGTTATGTCATGGCATAAAATTTGCATAGATTTTTTTGTGAAAAGGATACGCTTCTATCCAATACATACCTTGTGTGCTTCTTCCCATCACTGTATATCATTCTACAATTATTGTAAGTTCAAGATGTATCGTCCTGGCAACAACATGCCCACGGTCAGAAACAAACGAGGTATGAGCAGTGTGTTTAAGTGTAACGATGGCACGACTAATATGTTTTAGTAATGGTGGCAAGAAATCGCTGAGTGAGCCTCCCAGGAAAGTCTAGCGGAACCCATTTCGTCTCTCTACGACTGCATCAAGAACGGCACGATTTACATGGATGACGCATCGAAATTCATTATGGAAAGAAAAAAAAACGAATACGCTCAATCCCACGGTTTATGATGTGAGTCATAAAATTTGTAAGCAACGCAAAATTTAAATGACAGTAATTAATTTTAGGAATTCGTTCGTTTTAAGGTAGCAACGAGGCGCAGCATACGTTTTGATGGTATAGACATGTAGACGATCCTGTCGAAGAAAGACTGCAGGTAATAGCATCAGTTAGATGAATGAAGATTTACGTGAGCTGTTTGAGGACGATATAATAAGGGCGCAACTATCGCAGCTCACTCGCACGATTGAGATAAAGGAGAAAGCGCTAATCGTGAAAATCTGCCTAAATTTGGTGTCGAAAAATGCACAAAATCGTGGAAAATTGCTGAACAATATCCTTTCATAGAGGTAAACATCAAATTCACACAAGCTCATGTATTCATTTACATGGGTCTTCAGGCGGATCTCGTCAACATTCTCTTCAAATTATGGAACCCACGAAACAAAGAGACTGCTTTTCAACGACTGCTATCCATGTATCGATTCCTTCTCACAAAGGTGTGGAAAGTTCATCTCACTTTCTGCGAAGTTCTTATAGATTTAGATCACAAATCCGCCAAACGAAATACAAGAGTATGCTGTGCGATTAAGTGAGAAAAAAGGGCGTGATGAGAATTTAAAAGACCTTTCAAGAGAAATAGAAGGAACGCTGTTAGATAGGCAAGTGTTTGGTCATTGCTGGAAATTTCGAATCTGTCAAACTTCAGATTTCGGCGAAGATGGCCTTGGGTATGGACATGCCGAGCTGGTTCCTGGATATGAAGGAGAATTGTAGGATTCAAGGTGAATAGAATTGAATAAAACAATGGAACAAATAACCGTGATTTCAGTAAAGTACTGATTCGATCAATTTAGTTACTACATCAACCTGGGAAGCACTGAGGAAGAGCGAAGAAACGAACTTTCAATTTTGATAGAAGAGCGCATACAATGGAGACCCCATATATTCGAAGCGCTACAAAAAGCATTGTATGTGGTGTAGAATATCGTTTAGATTCTTTAATGACTCTAATTTACAGAAGGGATGTACGAGCGTCCAAATACATTGAAGACGGTGGTCTATGGAATCCAAGTACAGTGAGTTTGCTTACATAGATTGCAGTTCTGAAATTTCGAGTATTTCAGCGGCAGAAGAAGCTGACTGGAAAACATCAACGTAATCGACAAAGAAAACATCAACGTAATCGACAAGGAAAACATCAGAGAAATCGACGACAGGACGTACTACTGCCTTCAAAAATAAACTGACGGGTTCCGTTATGCTTTTGTTATCTTGCTAGCATGTTCTCACTTTTGTTGTTGTTTGAAATGGCAATTCTATGTATATTCTCTCCTATTGTTGAATAAAAAGAAGTTCTACCGTGAATCCGTGTTCTTAGAGATTCAATTATTATATGATTTAGTAGTATAATCTTAGATACGGCGAACCAAGCCCTAATTATGGCCAAGCTATAATGAACTACACGCGGCCCGATAGCCAGCTACGGCTGAGCCGAGGTCCATTATCGGCTGAGCCGAGGTCCACTATCTGCTGAGCCGAGGCCCAAAAGCGGACGAGCCGAGGCCGTTCTCCGGTCGAGCCGCGGACCATTCACCGGCTGGCCCGCGGACGCTGCGAAATTCCAGCCGGAAATGGGCCGCGGCTGGTCCGGTCCCAGTGTCTGAGTTGTTGGATTATCGTTAAGATAATGTTAGGCGTTAGGCGGGATTTGTCGTTAAAAACTTCATCATTCAAAAGATAGCATTTGTATTATATAGTCTTGACGTATTCATTATGACATGTCTCACTCGTAAAAAATCATTTATCTGGCAATATCCCGAAACCTTAAGTTTTCTTAAAGGCAGTGCCTCGGTAAGTTTTGCACTTCCACCTTTTTGCATGTATCAGGCCTTCTCGACACGCAGACAAATTTGAGGTTTGAACGGGGTGAAAAGACCGATTTGAGGCGTTACCCAATTTTTCAAAAGGCAGCGTGGAGAGTTTTAACAGAAAGTTGGAGGTCCCTGCACGAAATCTTTGAATTTTGCTTTGGAAAGCATGCGCAGTGCGGCAGTCGTCGTGGAATCCCCTAAACAGGCAAGCAAAGCCGTTTGAGCGCGCGCCTGTTCGAGGGCTACTTTCTCGGTGCGGGGCAGCGCGAATCTACCGGAACACTGACTTTAACTGAAGCTTAAAGGCAGTGGCTCGGCAAATCTCAACCTAGTCAAATTTGTGCTTACCTGAGGTTCCCGAAAATCCACTTTTAAAGCTTGAAAACGGCGAAAATAAGCGTTTTTTCAATGCCCTTATCTTTAATATGGACGAGTGGAGCGAGGCCCGATGGCGCTAAATCGTGGCAGGACCCAATGGTTATAGCGTTGCGGCGGGCAGCCTCCAATGGTGAGAAGGAAATTGCCAACTCGTCCAGATGCGTGTAAGATTGGCCTGCGCGTGTAAGTTCGAGAGCGATTCTCTCGGCAGGGAAAGCATGCTGTGCAACCGGGATTGCACTGTTTACATAGTGGGCGATAAGGAACCTACCGCGTTAAAATCCTGGGTTGATGGATTTTGCCGATCCACTGCCTTTCACTACTGAGGGGTACTAAGGATGTTGCACTACCAATACAGCTCCTGATCGAAATGGATAAAAGTCAAAGATAAGGCTGCGTTCATACTGATGCCGGATTTCGGAAACAGTCCCAGCACAGCGCTCAACTCGAGCTCTGTGCTGGAACTGTTCCCAGACTTCGGGATCAGTATGAACGCAGCCTAATAAAGCTGATCCGCTACTCGAAATAGGGCGTTTTGTAACTCTAAAATCGATAGAAGAGATCATAGATAAAAGGTTTGGATAAACTCGCCAGCAATACAAGAACTCGAGCGATTTCTTGTCTTCATCACAAACTTCATCACAAATAAAAAAATATCCGAACTGTAACCGAGAAATTTGAATGTGTACTGAACTTTTCTAAACCACCCATGTTTGATCAAATCTCAACTTCAGTGAATGGTTGAGCATAAAACACTTCAAATTTTCTTCAGAAACATGACTTGCATCTTAAGCTCTTTATGTATGTAACCTCTCGCGCGGTAACTTGGCTTGGGGAATACCTCTTGCGAATCCACTCAATGCGCTATGCTTATGTCAGATACATGTTTCAAGGTGCCCTTAACGTGGTCACTTCAATATGTGCCGATGTTATGAATAGCGGACAATTTTTGGACGTGGGCATACCCCCGCCGATGATACTGTCGCGAAATCGCAGAAGTTGAGCGATGTCGCGGTCCCAAGTCTATCCCCCCCTCCAGATGGATTAAAGTGGGCGGGGCTGAGAAGCCATAACTGAATCGTCTCAACCCCTGTCGCAGGGCGAAAAAAACGAGGAACCCCCACATATTATATATCATTCGAAAGCTCTTCAAGGGTAGGTTCGAAATCCAGCTCCTTGTTTATTTTTGTTTATTTACGCAAGAGTTACAGCAAAAAAAATCGATTTTGGGTGGTTCTATTTGACGATCCATATCTCAGCAGGGAGGTCTCTCGTGATCTACTTTTTTCACCATCTTGTAGACGGAGATTTATCTGATATAACGGGCTATCGCAAAAGGATCTGCTTCAAGGAAGAGAGCAACAGCACCGAGTTGAAGACGCATGAATTTTTGTGTAAAATTCAAGCTCAAGAAGATCTGCATCAGCAGATCGTTTTGCGACAGCCTTAGTTATATCAAGTACATTCTCCTCTACAAGATAAAAAAGAAATCAGATCATGCGAGGACCCCTCCACCGAGATATGTGAATTTTTTGGTTCGAAGGGGGATATAGTTGGCAACTCAAACCTGCCTCAACCAAATCTCACTCACTATCTACACCTTCGATTGTGTACAACATTTCCATTTATTGTTTATCTTTATACACACAATACAATAGCAAATTATTTAATTTATAGCCACATTACAACCACAAAATGTTTTTTCCGAGTCTTGTACAACACGCCCACGTGAAGGCTCCACTCCAGCCATTCGCTGCATGACCAAGCGCCCTTCCATGCCGACTCATTACTGCCGTCCTATGAAAGCCCTAAAATTGGATTTCTCAACTACGATATCTTAACTTTAAACTGAGTATTTTCTCACCTCAGCACTTGCTTCGTCCCAGTTAAGGGGTCCGGTCCCGATTTTTGCTTCGTTTCCCGCTTACGGTACATGATAATGAAATAATATTTATCAAAGAAATTACTTAAAAACAATATACTAACTACGTTAAAATTTATACAAATAAAATTAGAAGATCTGAAATCAAAAAACTGGAAAATTGTCAAAATTAAAGTTAAAAAAATTAGAGTTAAGAAATTGAAAATTTAATTTTTTTCAATCCCCCCCCCCCGGTCGACGTCGGCAATTTTTGAACACCCTTCACTTTTGAGGGTCAAAAACAGCCGAGAATAAATCCTACTCAATCCAGTAAATACCTTCTCAAAACTCAATGATGAGTTAATGGTGACTTCAGAAGAGGAACGTGCACATTTCTTACTCACATCGAAGTCTTTTTCTATAGACAGTTATCAATGCTAATACCATCCTCGATGTGCACGTTATCGAGTTCTCGAATTCCTCTA